TTAAGCCAACTTTTTCACTCTCCTCTTTCACTTTCATTAAGAGGCTCTTTAGTTCTTCTTCACTTTGTGCCATAAGGATGGTGTCATCTGCGTATGTGAGGTTATTTATATGGAATATTATTGAGCCATAAAAAGGAACGCATTTGAGTCAATTCTAAAGAAGTGGATGAACATAGAGCCTATTATAGACAGTGAAGTCAGAAAGAGAAAAACAAGTATCGTATACTAATGCATATATATGGAATCTAGAAAAAATGGTACTGATGAAATTATTTGCAGGGCATCAGTGGAGACACAGACATATTGAACAGACTTATGGACACAGTACAGCAGGTGGTGGTGGGGGGGGGCGAGGAGAAGGTGGGATGTATAGGGAGAGTAACATGGAAACTTAATTACCATATGTAAAATAGATAGCCAATGGGAATTTTCTGTATGACTCAGGGAACTCAAACCAGGACTCTGTAACAACCTAGAAGGGTGGTATGGGGAGGGAGATTCAGGAGGGAGGTATATGTATGGCTGACTCTCACTGACGTTTGACAGAAACCAACACAATTCTGTAAAGTAATTACCTTAAATTAAAACATAAATTAAAAAAAAAAGAGGATTAAAAACTTAAAAAAAAATGATGATTCCATTACTCAGGGATGAGTCTTAGAGAGCATCACTGGCTGCCCTTGGCCTTTGTAAGGCTTAGCAAAATTGGCCTGGTGTAGGGATGGAGAAGCCTTCAGTGGCCAGAGGACTGCCAGAAATTGTGATGAGCAGCAATGGAGCAGAAGACTCTGAGCTGGGAATGAGGGGAATAGGTTTAAATGGTTGGGACTGTGGACTCTGGCAAGGAACACTAGACTCTTACTCTCAAAAAAACCCCACAAAATGTGAAAGAGAAGTACTGTACCTGTGCAGCTCAAGTTCATGGAACAGAACAGACCAGGCCATTCGTACAGAGGTTACTGGATTATTTATAGATTCTACCTCCTCAGCACAAACACTAGGTCATATTAGCTACGTTCTTCCATATACTCTGCCAACAGTTTTACAAGGAGCAGGGGAAGGATAATACAGTTTGAAATACTGAAAAGAAAACTGTTAAACCAGAAGAAACTATCTTAATGGAATAATTAAATTATTGGGTCTAAAATTTTACCAGATTAGATTAACATTTATTTTCTCCTCTATTAATGGGTAGTACAGGTGTGTATGTGTAGAAAAAATTGGAGAATGAGAACACAGGAAATATAGCCAGTATTTTATAATTATTAATGGAGTGTAACTTTTAAAAGTGTGAATCACTATATTACATATCTGTAGCTTATATAATATATCAACTATACATCCATATAATACTTTTAATTAAAATAAAAAATAAATAGCTTTCTTTCAAGAAAAAAAAATGTGACACATATATACAATGGAGTATTACTCAGCCAAAGAAATAAGGCCATTTTCAGCAACAAGATGGACTCAGAGATTGTCATACTGAGTGAAGTAAGACAGAAGGAGAAATATACTATGACATCCTTTATATGTGGTATCTAAAAAGAAATGACACAAATGAACTTATTTACAAAACAGAAACAGACTCATAGACTTAGAAAATAAACATTGTTCGGGGGGAAGGGACAGTTAGGGAGTTTGTGTACACAATACTATATTCAAAATGGATAACCAACAAGGACCTATTGTATAGCACATGGAACTCCACTCAACTTTTCCTGCCAGCCTGGATGGGAGAGGGCTCTGGGGGAGAATGGATACATGTATATATACAGCTGAGTCCCTTCACTGTTCACCTGAATCTACTACAACATTGTTTATTGGCTTTACCCATATACAAAATAAGAAGTTTAAAGTTAGAAAAAAAAATAACAATAATAATTTTTAAAAAAAAGATCACACAACTAGTCAATACAAAAGATCACACAACTAGTCAATACATAACTGGGAATTTTTAGAACATTATACTAAGTGAAACAATCCAGTCACAGAAAGACAATCCTGTGAGACTATCTCATATGACATATATGAAATACCTGTCCACTTACATGAATAAATACCTTTCCACTTATATGAAATATCCAAAGCATTCAAATTCAAAGCAACAGAAAGCAGAATGGGAGTTGTTAGGGCTAGGGGAGGGGGAAACAGGAAGTTTTTCAATGGATATAGAGTTGCAGTTATGCGAAAAGAAAAATCTGTAGGTATCTGCTGTGTAACAATGCAGCTGACACTGAACTGTACACTTCAAAGTGGTTAAGACAGTTTTAAAATAACTGGGAATTGAAATCAGGCCTGAATCAAAAGCTATGTTTAGCAATTATGTAATCACTGCTGCCTACTTTCAATAATTTCATCTTCAGTTAAATACCATTCCCTTTCTCTGATTTACATAGGTCCCCCTCTTCTGTATGACAGGGTAATAAACCATTGGCTAGCATTTGCTTTGCCTGAAGCCTGTCAAACACCACAACTTTTTCTTGGAGGACTGGTACACAGTTCCAATAGCAAATTCAAAATGGAGTCATCAATCCAAGAGACTGAGTGGAGAACCAAACACTGGTCAAAGGAACAGGCAAGAGAGATCTGGGAGAAATAATTTTAGCTGTTTAAAAGACAAAATTCATGATGACATGACCGAAAAGTGCTTTTTCTATTAACAGAAAAAGTCTGCCATAGAAGAAGTTTGAAAAAAAAATGTTTAATGTTACGATTTGAAGTAAGTATTTTAGAAACCATCTGGTGTCGTTTCAGGGACTCTGAAGAGCTCTGGTACCAGTCCTTTATATCTCAGCACAGAAAAAGAATTCAGCAAGAGACAAAGTGATAGATAAGAAGTGATTTATTAAAATTGGATGCTTGTGAGGCTTATGAGCAGAGTAGATGGAAAAAAGGATGCCATGCCCTGAGAGCTTACTGGGCTAGTTTTATAATTAAAGGAAAAGTGGGGAGGAAGAGCAGAACTTTGTTGTCTTTCTTGAGTAGACATCACGCTTCCATCATCAGCTTCAGCTCCCAGTTGAGCAGGGGAGTTTTCTTGTCCCTACATGGTCAAGTTAGGTGCACAAATTACTGTTTTTTATGTGTGCAGAGAGCATGTCCTAGGGATCATTAACTTACTGAGCTCACTGCGCAGCATGTGAGTCTGATGTCACCATTGTTTTATTATTTTGGGGCATATCTCTTGCTTCTGTTGCATGATTTTGTTGCTAAAAAAGCCTGCTTGGTTTTGTGGTTAAGTAAACCTGCTTTCTTAAGTAATTATTAACTTACAAGGGTCTCTCATACTACTTGTACTTACAGTCCCCTAGAGGGATTAACTATTCAATCATCTACTTTATCCCTTTACTCCATACCTATCCTCTTTTTCTCAATTTTTCTGGAGTAAAATGGAGCTAATGGTAGCTAAGTTGGTAAAGAATCTGCCTACAATGCAGGAGATCTGAGTTCGAATCCTGGGTGGGGAAGATTCCCCCGGAGAAGGGAATGCCAACCCACTCCAGTATTCTTGCCTGGAAAATCCCATGGACAAAGAAGCCTGGTAGGCTGTAGTCCATGGGGTTGCAAAGAGGCAGACAGAACTGAGTGACTAACACTTACTTAATGCTAACTATAGGCAGTATATGGCAGAGGAAGGCTTGCAGTAAAAGAAAATACTTCTGAGAATGAATTAGAATCAAACTGAGTGTGAAAAGCCATGTCGAGAAATGACAAAACTCAAAATATTTTTTATAAAAGACAAAGGGTTCTAATATTACTCAAATATAATCAAGGTGAATTGACTGTTCCAGTAAAGCAAGAACAATGAAATTATACTTGATTTTAAAATCTACATTTACAAGTGGTGTAGTGTAGGGCAAACTACCTAATCTCCCAAGCCTCAGTTTCTTTATTACAGGTTGTAGTGACCATTTGTTTGACAAACACTCATTTACTAAGGCCAGGACTACAGTAGGTAGCCTAAGGATACAAAAGCATACATAGATGGTATTGTTCCTACCCTCAACTTCACATAACGTAATAAATATTATAAGGAAAGCTACTGAATGTTTTCTATGTGCCAGGTACTACTATAACTGCTTGTAACTTATCAAATCGCTTAATCCTTTTCAGAACCTAAAACGTATGTACTATATACCATTTATAATAGGCACAGAGAAGTTATGTATCTTGCCTAGGAACAAACAGTCCTCAAGCTTGGAGCGGGGATATAGCTTAACAGTGCACAGGACTTAAAAATCTATGCATGCGCAGGATGGTAGTGGAAGTTTTCCACACGGAAGGAGCAGTTTTAGTTCATCCGCTCATACAATGGGGTTAAGATAGTACCACTTTTTCGGGTTGTGCCGACTGAATAGTGTAGTTAAGAGTCAGCGATGTGGTAAGCACTAAATTATTAATAAAATGAAATTATTCATTTTATTCCTTTAAATTGGTTCAGCGTGGCGAATCATTAGTGTTTTCGAGGATTTAGCTACGCGTTGTAGCTTTTCAAATGGGTAATTTATACTGCTACCAACGAATTCAAGAGCTTTCCGGTTGCTTTATGTTACGATATACGATAGCGCTACTCGCTTTGATTATTTTTTTTAGTTTTCGACACTCTTACCCATTTTCTCTGTCAAGTTCTCTATCTGCCTCATTTTGTACAACCACCTCCGTCACAAACGAAATTCTCCGAGGAACCGCCGTGCGGCGCGAGGGCGGGAGCCTTACCCACCCACAACCTTTTCCTCTGCACCACGCTCAGGGCGCGAAGGCTCAAAATAGTTCTCGCGAGAGGAGACTTTTTTTTTAAACGAGAACGCCTAACCCCACCTTGCCTCTCCAGTGTCACATGACGGGCGCCTGCATCCTAGAACCGAGGTTTTTCTGATCGCCTACTGGCTGTTAACTCTGCTACAGGCTGGCCAGAGGTCCATTCCGGAAGTAGATCCTTTAACTAGCACTTCCTCCCCGGAAGCGTGTCACAACCTAGCCGTCCGGCCTTTGCGGAAGTTCGTCACGTCGCAGTTGCCCCCGCATAGCGGATGTGTGTCGCCGCTTAGGTGACGCTGAGAAGTGCTTGCAGCCGCCGCCGCTGCCTTCTGGTTGAAGCACTATGGAGGGAGAGAGGAAGAACAACAATAAACGGTGGTATTTTACTCGAGAACAACTGGAAAATAGCCCGTCTCGTCGTTTTGGCTTGGATCCAGATAAAGAACTTTCTAATCGCCAGCAGGCGGCCAATCTGCTCCAGGACATGGGCCAACGTCTTAACGTGTATCCTTGCGGCCTAGGCCTTCGGCCTTGGAGTCGGTCCCGCCCTGCTCTGCTTCGAGTCTTCAAGGTCTGTTAGACAAGAAGGGAAGAGGGTGGGCAGGGACTGGGTGTCTAGTTAGGAGAGCCTACGATGGGCAAAAGTTAAACGTTCGCGAGAGGGAAGCGAGGCGGAGTTAATTTCCCGCTCGCTCACCCGTGCCACCAGCCTTGGTGGGAATGCGTATCCTTCCCGCTTTATATTTTAAAGCAGTAGTAGTCCCATTTCGGTGTGTTGTGATCTCCTGTTCTGGTGACTTTGACATTCTGCTTTTGTGTTATGCCCAAAGTGCCTAGTGGAGGTTCACTGTTGATGGCTGCCTTCTTAAACTTACTGTGTAAAGAGAGTTTTGAGAAATTTCAGTACCTGAAGGTCTTATTAAAAGGTGGCCTAGAACTAATACCCCAGCTTTGGCTTAAAAACCATTTTTTCCACTTACTGGTTGTTTAAGACTGGTTTATAAAATGGAATGATGCCTCTTGAATTTGATTTCTATGCCCAGCACAATACTTGGCACTTAATGTTCAAAACGTAGTTACTGTTAAGAGTTTTATAGTATTTCAGAGGAAGAATCGATGTCAGTTTAGTTTGTAGGCATGTAGACTTACAGGTCTAATGTTCTGAAAAATCTTTTATAAAATACTGGGGTTTTAAGTTACTCAAAATGCTAATGTATATTTGTTTTTCTCATATTTAAAAGATTTAGTGGTTTTTTTTTCCCCTTTAAGTGTTTTGATCAGAAAACCTACTCATTTTGTAGCAGATAAAGCTGTAGAGTTTTGAAGTTGAAAGCTTTCCACTTAGGAAGTAGAAATTTGTTTTTGGGTGCAACTTCCATTTAAATGTGTTGCTGGCTGTGTCTTAAGGCTGTTCTCACTTGAAAAAAGGTGTCTTTGGTGCCCATATTAAGTTTGTTTCCTAAGCATCCAGTCAGTACTGAGTTAAAAAAAACTTTTAAAAAAATTCTGTTTTAGTGCATCCTAGTATTTTCCTTATTATGTGTGTATTATTGTGGTACTGTCTCATCTCTGCTCAGTCGTGTTCCACTCTTAGTGGCCCCATGGACTGTAGCCTGCTAGGCTCCTCTGCCCATAAAATTTTCCAGGCAAGAAAACTGGAGAGGGATGCTATTTCCTACGGGTAGTGGGGAGGGGGAGAATCTTCCTGACCCAGGGGTTGTTCTTGTGTCTATTGCATCTCCTGCATTGACAGGTGGTTTCTTTACCACTAGGGCCACCTGGGAAGCCCCCATCTCTGTATATCCCACATTGTTTTCTGAGGTCTTTTTAAGTAAGGCATTCAGAAATTTTCCTTTTCAAAAGAACCCTTGGACAGTGTTGGTGGTAGTGTATATTGGTGCAATCATTGTGGAAAACCAAGCAGAGTTTTCTCAAAAATCTAAAAATTGAATTACTATATGACCCAGCAATTCCACGCCTAGGTACATATCTGAAAAAACAAAGACACTAATTTGTAAAGATGTGAGCACCCGATTGTTCATAGCAGCATTGCTTATAGTTGCCACGATATGGTAGCAAACTGAATATTCATGGACAGATGAATGGGTAAAGAATAGGTAGTATATATAGACAACGGAATACTATTTAGCTGTAAAAAGTATGAAGTAATGCTGTTTACAGCAATGTGACCTAGAGGTTATCATACTCAGTGAAATAAGTCAGGAAGAAAAAGACAAATATATATTATTTACTTGTGGAACCTAAGGAATACAACTGGTGGAAACAAAAAGGTAGACTCACAGATACAGAGAACAAACTAATGGTTAGCTGTGGGGAGAGGAGAGGGGGCAATGTAAGGGTGGGGGAGTGGGAGGTACAAACTACTGGGTGTGAGAGAGACTACAAGGATGTATTTTACAAAAGGAGGAATATAGCCATTGTTTTGTAGGAATTGGAAATGGAGCATAATCTTTAAAAATTGTGTTAAAAATTAAAATCAGTTTTTCTTTCCAGTGAATATCAAATAATTCATTAAATACCAAAGTGTTTCTGCTCCCAGGGATCACCTTATGAGAAGGTTTGGTTGCCAGAGGGAAGTAGAACTGAAAAGTTAATTGCTGGAGCTTAGAAGATGAGGAGATTAGTGAAAACATACCTAGGAGGAAATCAATCCTGAATATTCATTAGAAGGACTGGTGCTGAAGCTGAAGCTCCAATACTTTGGTCACCTGATGTGAAGAACTGGCATTTGAAAAGACCCTGATGCTGGGAAAGATTGAAGGCAGGAGGAGAAGGGGACGAGAGACGATGAGGTGGTTGGATGGCGTACTGACTCAATGGACATGAGTGTGAGCAAGTTCTGGGAGATGGTGAAAGACAGGGAAGGCTGGTGTGCTGCAGCTCATGGGGTGGCAAAGATCGGACACAACTGAACAACAACCTAGGGGGCAGATCAGGGAGGTCTTGAGAAGATGAGATAAGCAGAAGCTTACCTAGAGGACACATCAGGGAAGGGTGTTGTAAATCAGTGTGAAGAGATACTCTGTGCTAATGGATCACCTTGGCAGGATTTTTCAGTAGACAGGTGACAGGTTTAGGTCTTAAATAGTTTTGTTTGTAGTCCTTGATCCACACATACTGAGACCTTGTTTATTAATTCAGCAGTTTATAGTGAATACCTGTTTCATATAAGGCCTTGTGGTAAGTGTCAATAGCTTGATGAAAACAGATTTGCTTTTTAATTCTGAGAGGCAAGTATGGTATCTTTTTTTAAAATTGAAGAATTGCAATTATTGATTTCCAACATTGTGTTAGTTTCTGGTGTACATTGTGTTAGTTTCTGGTGTACAGCAAAGTGATTTAGTTATACGTATATATAAATGTTCTTTTCCATTATGGTTTTTTACAGGATATTGAATATAGTTTCCTATGCTGTTATCTCTTTGCTTATATATATATATATGTATATATAGTTGTTTGTATGCTAATACCAGACTCCTAATTTATCCTCTCCTGCCCTCTTTCTTCTTTGGTAACCATAGTTTGTTTTCTGTGTCTGTGAGTCTGTTTCTGTTTCGTAAATAAGTTCATCTGTGTCATTTTAGGTTCCACATAGAAGTGGTATCATATGGTATTTGTCTTTCTCTTTCTGAATTCACTAAGTATGATAATCTCTAGGTCCATCCTTGTTGCTACCAAAGGGCATTATTTCATTCTTTTTTATGGCTAAGTGATACTCTGTTGTGTATATATACCACATCTTTATCCATCTGGCCATGGACCTTCAGGTTGTTGCCATGCCTTGGCTTTTGTAAATAGTGCTGCTGTGAACATTAGGGTGCATGTGTCTTTTTGAATTAGAAGAATTTTCTCTGAATATATGCCTAGGAGTGGGATTGCTTGATCATATGGCAACTCTGTTTTTAGTTTTTTGAGGAACCTCCATACTGTTTTTCATAGTGGCAGCATCAGTTTACATTCCCACCAACAGGGTAGAGAATTCCCTTTCTCCACACCCCAAAGAGGTAAGTATGATTTTCATTTAAGAGTGTTTGCTGTGCTTGGCTGCATGGTCCTTTTGGGAGGATATAAAGATTGTATTTTGGGGGATTGTACTGTCTGTTTTGGGACCTTAACTTGAACATTTTAGCTCACAATTGACTATCAACACTGCTATAGTATACATGCATCGATTCTACATGATTCAGTCCTTTACACAGTTCCATCGAAACGTAAGTATAATTTTTTTATATGGTTTAATTCTTTTGTGGTTAATTTCAACTTCATATTTCTTTTGTGGTTGATCTTTGCTGCTGAACTGGGGTTTGAAGTTTAGAATTTAGTGTTGATCACTTTCCTCATATATCACACTGCTATTCTGAATCCAGCCTTTTGATTTTCCTGTTTAGTGTCTAGCTACTTGTTTAGCTTTAGTGCATTCTTAGAGTAGGTGGATTCTCTAATAAAATAGATCATTGCACACTTAGAGTTAACATTTTTGATTTGGGAGAGTAGCATTAAAGGGGAAACTATGCTTAATTTAAGTGTAACTTTTGAACTGGTTAATAATACGGGCACAGGAAAACAAGTGAATGTTAGTCATTTACATTTTCTAAAAAGCTTTGAAGAGTCCAATCATTGTCTGGTTGGAAGGGGAAGGTACATTATGTGATGACTGGGTGATGACTTTTAAGACGAGAAATAGAAAATAATAGTAATAAAGGGATTTTTTTTTTCTGGACAGAATTGTAAATAATGCTATTTTCAGTTTTGCTACCTGAAATGGTCCTATTTAACATTATTGTAAATGACTTGGAAGCAAGTGCATAGTGATATTCCAATTGCAGGTAAGAATATATTTGTTTAATAAAATCACAAGATAATAGGGTTGAACTTGATGAACACTTCATATGGATTTATGAGTCAAATATTTCATTATTTAAGAAAAGGTTATGTTTTGAGGTAAGGTGTTTCAGACTTACCCTTAGGATAATAGGGTTTGAATTCTCTTTTTTTATGCCATAGGAAAAGAAATTGGAAAGCAAGATATTAGTGGACTTATGATTGGGAATAATTGTACAGGAAGCCCTTTAGATTTGTGGATTAAATATTCCCAATTTTTTGCTGATCATTCAGTCATTTTGGCTGTCTCCTATCTTTACCCACTCTACCTCCTCTGATTACCAGGAACACATTCTTCTTAAGAGAGAGAAGCATTTATTGAGTCTGTCTGATAGCTCTAGAATAGAAAGTAGTAGATAAAAAATGGTATTTGAAGAGGAAGTCTATTGCTGTCTTACCCATTCTAAAAGTTTTCTATATTTCTTTTCTTTTATTATGGTAAAGATTTGAAATCCAAGGTGAATACATCTCAAATCAATTTGTCCACTCTATGCGTGTGTGTGTGTGTATGTATGTATGGGCTTTCCTGATGGCTCAGTGGTAAGGAATCCACCTGCCAATGCAGGAGGTGTGGTTTCAGTCCCTGGGTCAGGAAGATCCCCTGGAGAAGGAAATGACAACCCACTCCAGTATTCTTGCCTGGGAAATCTCATGAACAGCGGAGCCTGGTGGGCTACAGTCCATGGGATCAGGAAAGAGTCGAATGACTCAGTGACTAAACAGCAACATGTATGGGTGTGTTTCCCCTGCTTTACTTTTTAAATTACATCTTATTTTCTATGTGTTTATCTTAGCAAGGACAGAGACTCACTTTTCTGTGTATCCTCTAAAGCACCTTCAGTAAACTTACTGCATGAATGAATGATCTGGTAATTATCCAATATAGAGATATTCTTTTGGATTTCATTATGTTTTTGAGAATCCAGTGGTTCTTTTAATTTGGGTTTATTGATCCTCTTTAGAGAACTGATTTTAGGAACATTCTGGAATTAATGGATGAAAAATATGACTCCTGTAGGATGTTAATTCTAAGGGTTTAGTTCTGGTAAGTCCAAATTCAAATTTAAGGGGATTTAGTACATTGTGGCATTGATATGAAGTATGTCCTGTGAAGTGCTCATACATTTTTCTTGTTAATTTTTTTCTAATTACAAAGGTAATAAATGCTTGTGGTAAAAATTAAAATAATACAAGCATGTGTAATGTAGAAAGTAAAAGCTCCTCTGTAATCCCATCCTCCAGAAGTAACTTTTGATAAACACCTCATTGTTTTGTGCCTGTAGTACCAGCATTTATGTATTTCTATAAAAATCACTTGTTACTATACTACAATTGCCTTTTACCACTTAACAGTATTTATATATTGGGCATTTGTTATTTTAAATGGCCACATAGTATTTGAGTAGTTGCTATAATTTATTTTACCAGCTTTTGATTGGTGATGTTTGGGTTGTTTATTGTATTATAAATAATTTATATAAAATCGTCTGGTACACATGACTGTTTTATAAGTTCTTATAGATGGAATTGTGTCCAAGGGTATGCATTTAAAAGATTTTTGTTGTGTCCGTTTGCTCTACTGAAAGACCAGCATGCATTGTTTCCAGCACTGTGGAAGACGGTTCTTTTCTCTCCATCCTCACTAACAACAAATACTTTTATTTCAGGAAATACTATTTGAAGATGGTTCTTTTCTCTCCATCCTCACTAACAACAAATACTTTCATTTCAGAAAATGCTATTTGTCAAGTACTAGGGATAGAGTGGTGAGCAAGACAGTGCAAGTCCTATTTTCTGAATTTACATTTCTTCAGTTAGTAAAGATGAACTTCTTATGCCTGTTGGTCTTTGTTCTTCTTGTGAAATTGAAGAATTGACTTAAAAATTCTCTGTTGATTCTTTTTTGCTCCTATTTTATTTTGATTTTCTCATCCATCAAAGCTGTGTGCCATGTGCTGCGAACACTTTTCTTGTTTTGTTGTAACTCTTTTATGGTGTTTTGGAGCCTAGAGCTCTTGCCTTTTTAAAAAAATTTTTAAATCTTTATTGCGGTTTAACATAAAGCATGGGCTTCCCTGGTGGCTCAGTAGTAAAGAATCCACCTGCCAATGCAGGAGACGTGGGTTTAATCCCTGGGTCAGGAAGATCCCCTGGAGAAGGAAATGGCAACCCACTCCAGTATTCTTGCCTGGAAAATCTCATGGACAGAGGAACTTGGCAGGCTACAGTCCATGGGGTCGCAGAAGAGTCAGAAAGGACTTAGCGACTAAACAATAACAGCAACATAAAGCACTCAAGTTTGAGGTGTGTAGCACAATTGTTTTTTGCATTTTATTTATACATAACCTCCACTCAGAGCAAGATATAGTATATTTCCAATACCTTTGAAGGTGGAGAACTTACCTTTAGATTGCATAAATTGTATTCCTTTTGTGGACATGATTAAGTGACTGGTTTATTTTTACTTAAATCCTGGCATTGCATTCTTTTTTTGAGAAGAAATTCAGCCTCACTATAGTCCATGGGGTCACAGAGAGTTGGACTCAACTGAGCAACTGAACTGAATTGAATTTCTATATATACTATCTTAAATGTTTTCAAGTGGGGGAGTGTAAAAGTAAAGGTGAGTGACTTGTGTGTGTATTTATGTTGTATTTTCTAACATTTGATACACAGGTGTTGTCTTGTAATGGCTGACAAATTTGAGTGTATATTACTCTCATTAAGTGACTCTTAAAAAGTTTAGTATTTCAAATCCTAAACGATGATGCTGCGAAAGTGCTGCACTCAATATGTCAGCAAATTTGGAACACTCAGCAGTGGCCACAGGACTGGAAAAGGTCAGTTTTCATTCCAATTCTGAAGAAAGGCAATGCCAAAGAATGCTGAAACTCATTCATCTCACACACTAGTGAAGTAATGCTCAAAATTCTCCAAGCCAGGCTTCAACAGTATGTGAACTGTGAACTTCCAGATGTTTAAGCTGGATTTAGAAAAGACAGAGGAACCAGAGATCAAATTGCCAACATCTGCTGGATCATCAGAAAAACAAGAGAGTTCCAGAAAAACATCTATTTATGCTTTATTGACAAGGCCAAAGCCTTTGACCATGTGGATCACAATAAACTGTGGAAAATTCTTCAAGAGATCGGNATAACCTCAGATATGCAGATAACACCACCCTTATGGCAGAAAGTGAAGAGGAACTAAAAAGCCTCTTGATGAAAGTGAAAGAGGAGAGTGAAAAAGTTGGCTTAAAGCTCAACATTCAGAAAACTAAGATGGCATCTGGTCCCATCACTTCATGGCAAATAGGTGGGGAAACAGTGGAAACGGTGGCTGACTTTATTTTTTTGGACATCCATTCCCATCATTTCATGGCAAATAGATGGGGAAACAGTAGCTGACTTTATTTTTCTGGGCTCCAAAATCACTGCAGATGGTGATTGCAGCCATGAAATTAAAAGACATTTACTCCTTGGAAGGAAAGTTATAACCAACTTAGACAGCATATTAAAAAGCAGAGACATTACTTTGTCAACAAAGGTCTGGCTAGTCAAGGCTATGCTTTTTCCAGTAGTCATGTATGGATGTGAGAGTTGGACTATAAAGAAAGCTAATCACCGGAGAATTGATGCTTTTGAACTGTGGTGTTGGAGAAGACTCTTGAGAGTCCCTTGGACTGCAAGGAGATCCAACCAGTCTATCCTAAAGGAGATCAGTCCTGGGTGTTCATTGAAAGGACTGATGTTTAAGCTGAAACTTAAACATCAGTGTTTTGGCCACCTGATTGAAAGAGCTGACTCATTTGAAAAGACCCTGATGTTGGGAACGATTGAAAGCAGAAAGAGAAGGGGAGGACAGGATGAGATGGTTGGATGACATCACCAACACAATGGACATGAGTTTGGGTAAACTCCGGGAGTTGGTTATGGACAGGGAGGCCTGGCTTGCTGCCGTTCATGGGGTCGCAAAGAGTCAGACACGATTGAGCAACTGAACTGAACTGAGTGGTTAAGAGGATGATCTCTTGAGTCAGAACCATCTCAATGTGGATCCTTGCTGCAGTGCCTACAGCTCTTTGGCTTTGGGCAAGTTACCTCGAGCCTCAGTTTTCTCATTGGAGTCAAAAATGGTGCCTACTTCATAGGATATAGGTGAATTAATTTGCCAAGTGCCTGCACATAGCAAGTATTAGCTGGCATTATTACTGTTCCTTTAATATGGAAAAAAATCTTACACTCTTACTAGGCATAAGAATTCGTCTGGAAACTATCTTTGATAGGAAAATACTTTGATAAACTAGCTTGGTGTATGATTCTGTGAGGAG